GATCCATGATTCTCTCTCACCATTGATCTTTCTCTCTCTCTCCCTCTCCCTTCCTCTCTGAAATCAATAAAAACATATTTTAAAAAACAATAAAAAATGAAATGACAATTTGCAGGTGATTGGAATGTTTGCATTGTTGCCGGTCGCAACTTTTTGCTCATATGTTCTGGGGGGGGGCGGAAAACACAAAAACCTGATTACGTAAATAATTAAAGCGTATTAGAATAAATAAATAAATAAAAATGAAAGTGAATATGTCTTAAAAAATTAAAACGGTGAGATTTCTTCCTGTTTTTACAATCTGTCTGTGATTTTCTGGGACAGGCATTCCACTGGGGTGTCATGCTTAATTCATGATAAAAACGTGTCCCTTTTCTTGTCCCTTTTTATAAATATATATATTTTTTTCCATTGATTTCAGAGAGGAAGGGAGAGAGAGAGAGAGAGAGAAACATCCATGATGAGAGAGAATCACGGATCGGCTGCCTCCTGCACGCCCCCTACTGGCGATGAAAGTCATGTGCCCCCGACCGGGATTCGAACCCAGACCTCCTGGTTCACAGGTCGACGCTCAACCACTGAGCCACACCGGCCAGTCTTCTTGCCCGTTTTTGGACAGTTTTCAGTGTTGAGATGGTGGGGGGAGGGGAAGATGGGAGGAGAGATTGGGGTCCCCATGATGGACCCCTAACAGGATCCATTCCCTGGCTGACCCCTTGACCACCCACACCCCCACCCCCTTTGTAAATTCCAGGCAGGAGGACGAGGTCGAGTGTCCCCGTTACGTGGCTGACTCGTCGGGGACGCGCGTGGGCTGTCGATTCGACGAGCTTGTGGGGTCCCAGCTCACGGACACCTACTTTTTCTTGGTCAACGGGACCAGCGAGGAGGCGGCCGTCCAGTTTACGGACTTCGCCCCGTTCAAAGGCATCCAGATCGGTGGACCCTTGAATACAGTTCCTCATGCTGTGGGGACCCCCAACCATAACATTATTTCTGTTGCTACGTCATCACTGTCATGTTGCTGCTGTTATGAATCGTCATGAAAACATCTGAAATGCAGGATGGTCTTCGGCGACCCCTGTGAAAGGGTCGTTTGACCGCCAAAGGGGTCGCGACCCACAGGTTGAGAACCGCTGGGTGAGACCATATCCCCCTGGTGGTTTCTCCCCAAGGAGTTCGTCTGGATTGACTGAATTTGGGGACGTGTCGCGGTGCCCCCAGGGCCCGTCTGACCACCATCCGGGGCCCAGACTCAGAGTCAGGGAGACAGAGGTGCAGAAGGGGAGTTAG